GGAAAATAGATATGTAGACTGCCCTAAGTTGCTGAGCCACTATGTATAGGAGTGAAAAAATGCTCTGGGTAGTGGCCTGAGTTGGAAAGAGTCCTAAAGAAAAGCCGCATGGACCAAAGAATGGGTTACGAGGGGGAATAGGTTGTCTGTGAGATGAGTCCTTCTACTTCATAGCATGTCTGGTGGTCCATTGCATTGAAATGTGGTGTGAAATGTGAATCTGTGTTAAAGTAAAATGGCATATTTGCAGTAGAGCTTTTGTTTTCTATGTTAAATGTAAAGTGATGTCCCTAAGAAAGGAAGCACATACAAAAACGTGGGGGCTAAAAGTAGCTATGGTTTGCATTGTTAGGTAGTCGATACTAGAGGTAGTCGAAATCTTTGTGTTATATGATGTGATTGAATCTCTGAGGCCGTCAAATTAAATAATTAAATGTTTTTGTTTGTTTAATGTTTGGAATTGATTGAGGACAAGCAATAATTCAAGTTTGGGGGTATTTGATATGCTTATATTTTACCTATTTATTATATCCCTAATTTGTGATTTTTGCAATATATTTTGAGTACAAATATGCTATTTATGTGATTTTATCTTTAATTATAGGAATTGTACTCAAATGAAGAATTGTTGAAGTTTTTAGCTAAAATCGAATTAAAAGCAACTCAATGGGAAAGAATTGAAGATTAGAGCAATTGATGGGGAAGAAATTAATGAGTTTAGAGAATTGGAGGGCCGATGATGCAATTTTAGAATTCTTGTTTTTGGAAAATTGGCTGAGAAGCTTATGGTTATACGGCTGATTTCGGATTGGAATTGGATAAGAATTTTAATCCCGATATTATTTGGGAAACAAGTTTTCTTGTTCTCCAAGAAGTAGGGTTTAGCCGGAAGCCTATAAAAGGAGGATTAGGGATTTATTTTTACAACAGAACTGGACCGAAAACTGACCGAAACCCTATGGTTAAAACTCCATCACCGCCGACCACCACCAAACTATCTCCTCCTTCACCGGCAGCATCATCACCGCCGCTTTGCTTCCATAACCTCCACTGCACCAGCACCTTCTTCCCCTTGCCCACCTCCATCACTGCCAAACTCCCTCCTCTCCCAGCCTGCAACATCATCATCATCGACCGCCATCATCATTATCTTCTCTCCTCCTTCACCGACACCATCATCCTCGTGCAGCAACACCTTCTTCCTCTTCTCCGCCTTCCTGGTCACGCCGCACCACCGAAGCAGCAGCATCAACACCGGCAGAGTCACTCAACGTCAAAAGCTTCTTCACCGCAGCAGCCACGAAGCGAGCAAACGTCGGGGAGCTTTTCGGCTTTTTGGCTTCATTCGGGTTTTGGGTTTTGGAGTTCTAATTATTTAATTTATTTATTTTTTATGTCTCTAAATATTGTTGAATTAATTTTAATAATGTTTAGTGGCTAAATTCTTTTAATCTAGGGCTTGGGTGTAGCCACCGAATTTATTTGGTTTATTTAGTTCATTATTATTTGATTTTTTCATTAATTAATATTTGTTATTCTTGTTTTAATTCGTGTAAGTAATTGGCCACTATTTACATGTCTGAAGATACTAATCGAAGTAGCGAGGGTGGAAGATTAGTATTAGTTCGAAGGAATAATAAACTTAGGTTGTAAGTTACGAGAGTAAGATTATAACCTTTGCAATATTTGATTCTTAATGGTCTTAATGTGCTTTTGTTAATCCCTATAGTCACGAGAGTAGTCATAGGGTTAATCTAAGTAAGAGAATTATAACACGAGAGTGTATAGTTCTTAATTAGGTGAATCGTTGTGAGATTAATGGAAGTTAAAAGTTAGATATTTTTGAATTGAACTAAATCAAATATTCGGTAGGTGAACCCAATGTCCTAGGTTTTCTTTGTCTGATTATTTGAATTAATATTATTTGCTTTTATTTTATTTATTTATTTTAGGTTTAAATTTTATAAATCTGAGATTATCATTTATCTAGATAATAATAGGAGTAATTTATACCTGGTAATTAGTATTCCTTCTCTGTGGGATTGACCCTGCTTTCTGCTTTACTACTAGTAATTGTATTAAGTAGGTAATTAATATTTGACTAATGTGACAACGGCTTGTCTAATTTGGCGCCGTTGCCGGGGAAGGCAGCTAATATCGAATTTAAATTACTTTCTTTTGATAGTTTAGATTTGTTTTTTTTTATTATTTTTATTTATTTTATTGTCTTAATATTTAGTGATTTCTTTTAAATATTTATGTATTGTTTTTATATGCGAAGTGCTAATTCTGAGACTTTGCAATTTGATCCAGAGATAAAAAGAACAGCTCGTGAGAACAGAAAAGAAGCAAAACTAAGAAAAGAGAAGAATCAGAGTGAAACCATGGGCGACAGAGTAAACACTCGGATACTGAGGGATTACTTTACACCTACGGAGAATGTTGCTAGGTCAAGTATTACTAGGCCTACCATTGCTGCGAATACCTTTGAGCTCAAGCCAGCATTGATCCAGATGGTGCAGCAGAATCAATTCTCCGGTTTTAACAATGAGGATCCAAATGCGCATATTGATAACTTTTTGGAGATCTGTGATACTGTTAAGATAAATGGTGTGACGTCAGATGCAATCCGGCTGAGACTTTTCCCTTTTTCATTGAGGAGAGAAGCGAAGAACTGGTTGAATACTTGCGATCCTGGTTCCATCACAACTTGGGATGAGTTGTACAAGGAATTCTTGATTAATTTCTTCCCACCACATAAGGCAGCGAAATTGAGAAATCAAATTACTGGGTTTATTCAAGAAGATGATGAGACATTTCATGCTGCATGGACAAGATTCAAGGAATTGCAAAGAAGATATCCTCACCATGGTATTGAAAAAAGTACTCTAGTTCAGACTTTCTATCAAGGATTGACAGACTTTGCAAGAAACAATGTGGATGCTGCAGCTGGAGGTTCATTAATGGATAAATCAATTGATGATGCCTACGAATTGTTTCAAAATTATGGCAAGGAATAGGAATCAATGGTCGAACTCGAGAAGTGTTTCCAAGAAGCTCTTGGAATGTATAAAGTCAATGAACGCAAAGATAGATGCACTGACCAAGGCGATGGGTAATCTTGTAAATGCTAATGCAGTCTTCCATGCCAATGTCTGTGAGTTCGTGGAGGTCCTCATTTGAGTTCGAATGTATGCAACGGCAAGTGCACAATATGTCTCTAATTTCAGCAAGCCTCAGCAGCAGAACAATCCATACTCCAATACTTACAACCCTGGTTGGCGAAATCATCCAAACTTTTCTTGGAATAATCAAGGGGCTCAAGACTTTAATGCAAGACCTCCAAACCCTCCGGGTTTCCAAGCAAAGTCATAACAATCTGCACCTAAGTCAGCAACGAAGGCAAGTTTGGAGAGAATGGAGAAATTGTTGAGTGAAAACACTGAACGGTCTAACAGAATAGAAGCAAGGTTAGATCAATTGACTACTGCTCATAGAACCTTGGAGATGCAAGTGAGTCAAATGCCTCCGCCATGAATACTCGTGGGCAAGGTCAACTGCCAAGCAAGTCTGAAATCAACCCTCGTGAAAATTGTAGTGCTATCATGTTGAGAAGTGGGAAGCAGTTGGGTGACAAGGAGGAACCAAAGACCACTGAAGTGAATGTGACCACTGATGAGAAGAAAGTAGAGAGTAAGCAGATTAATGAAGAAAAAGTGGAGAAAGTGGAACAAGAGGAAGAAAAGATATATGTGCCACCACCGCTTAAACCTTATGTTCCACCAGTGCCTTTTCTGCAGAGACTCCATATGACCAAGCAAGATAGGTTGTTTGAGAAATTTCTGAAAATTTTTAGGCAATTGCATATTAACATTCCTTTTGCAGATGCTTTAGCTCAGATTCCAGCGTATGGAAAGTTCTTGAAGGAGATCATCTCCAATCGAAGAAAAGTGAAAGACTTTGAGACAATTGCACTATCTGAGGAGTGTAGTCTTGTCATTCAAAGAAAGTTGCCTCCAAAATTGAGTGATCTAGAGAGTTTCTCTATTCCTATCTCTATGGGTGATGTCTGTTTTGATAAAGCTTTATGTGATTTAGGCGCTAGTGTTTCATTGATGCCTTTATCTGTTTGTAGAAAGTTTGGGTTGAAACATTTGAAACCAACTAACATCACTTTGCAGTTAGCTGATAGATCCATAACTCATCCAAAAGGGATTTTGGAAAATGTGCTAGTAAAAGTGAAGAAATTTTATATCCCTGTTGATTTTGTTGTGTTAGATATGGAAGAAGATGCTAATGTGCCAATTATTTTAGGTCGACCATTTCTAGCCACAACTGGTGCTGTTATAGATATTAAAAAGGGGAGTTTAAAATTTCATACTGGAGAAGAATCATGGAGTTCACTTTTTCGAAAATTACAAATGCCCTGCATTTACTCATCATGTGTTTAGAGTAGATTCTGTTAAGGAACCAGATAAAAATGATGTGTTTATTGCTAATTTTAATGACCCTCCTGACATATGTATCAGTGATGTAGGCACAGATAGAAATGGAAGAAGAATGATGTATCAAAGGGGTTCCCACTCTTTGATTGAGCGTCCACCTGATTGATTAGCCATATAGTCCGGTTCATGACTTTAAAGAAACGCTTATTGGGAGGCAACCCAATTCATTATTTTGCTTTATTTTATTTTATTTTTTTTATTTTTATTTCTTTTTCTTTCATTAATAAGTTGATGGGGTATTTTTATAATTAAATTTATTATTTTATTAAAAAAACTGACGGACATCCGATTAAACGAAATTAGCCAAAATTTCAAATATTAGGGTAAAATTTGCTAACTAAAAATTTATTGAATATAATTGACGATGAGAACAAAGTTTTAGATGTTAACGATATTTTTCCCGGAATGAATGTGTCAAAACAGAGGCTGTTTTAAATGCTTTGAACTGTCTGAACTGGGAGCAATCAATGCTCCTTATCTACCCTCCCTCAAAGTTTCAATTTCATAAACCCGCCAAAAACAGAGCTCAGCAGAGGAATCTCCCAGATCTGCAAAGACCCAAAACCCCTTTTCTTTTTTGTCAAAATCAACTTGAAATTCTTGTTCTAAGGGATGGGCTATGTGGAAAAATTATCTGAAGCAATGTTGCAGAATGAAGAGAGGAATGAAAGCCTTAAGGGCATGATGGATTTCTTGGAGCTTGAATTCAAGGATTTTAAGAGCATTGTGGCATCGGCAAGGGCCTGCTATACTGAATGCTTGGAGGATCTTCAAAAAAGGGAAGAGGGATTGAAGGATGAACTCAGAGGCAGAGAGAAAGATTTGGATAGGAAGAATGAGAAGATTTCTTCTTTTGAGAAATGGTTGGAGAAACGGGAAATTGAGCTCAACTCAAAGGAGAGCGTTTTCCAGAGAAGAGAAGATGAGTGCACAGAAAAGATGAAATCTTTGGAGCAAAAGGAAGCGGATTTAGGTTTTAGGGAAAATGTTTTGCTTGTTAGAGAGCAGGCATTGGGGCTCAAAGAGAATGCATTGGAGCTGAAAGGGAAGGCTTTGGAGATGAGGGAAAATGAGATTGTTTCACGGGAGAAGAATTATCAGAGAAAGATAATTGTATTGGAAGGTAAAGAGGATAAGTTTCTTGCAGTAGAGAAGGATCTGGAGAGAAAAAAAACTGAGCTTTATACTAGAGAGCAGAAAGTCCAAAGCAAGGAAAATTCCCTTGATTCCAAAGACAAAAAGTTGAAGGCATTGGGGAAAGAACTTGATTCTGTAAAGAAAGATTTGGAGAAGAAAAAAATTGGGCTTGATTCCAGGGAGGAAAAGGTTTCTTCTGAGCAAGAAGCTATGGAGAAAAGTCATGAGGAGATTGCCTTGAAATGGAAAAATTTGAAGGAGTTTGAAACCAGAATTGAAGTAGTTAAGGGGAAAGTTGTGAATCTTTGCTCGGAGCTTGTAAAAATCCCTCCTCCCTGTATGGAATCAAGTAGTTCTTTCAATGCGCCTCAATCAACAAATGTGAATTGCGACAGGAAAAACTTAGGGGAATCAGCCCTGGAGCTCAAAGGGAATGATGTTACTGCCCAAGAGAGAAGTGAATTATTGAAGAAGGTAGATAACCTTTCTCTAGTCCTAGTTACCCATTGCTTATAATGTTAAATTTTTTCCTATATATGAGTAACTTTAAATCAAGATTCAAGACCTTGACTGAATGCCCTCTTTCTACATTTTCTATTAGAAGCTAATCATTGTTGTGTATTGATACTATCATTTTATTAGAGCATAATCTTTGGAAAAGCTTTAAGTATGCAACTTTCTTATTGTGTAGTATCAATGCGGATTTATGTACATTTTTGTGATTAGTTCTGTTTTTGACATGATAAAGTTGATTAATATTAGGTTGTACAATCCCTTTTAGGAGAGTTGTGATCCGGGTTATTTTCTGTGAGTTTTCAGTTGAAGTTATGATCTTATCATTCCTAGCTTTCACTCTAGTGCAAAGTAGAGTTCCAGTTTTGTTTCTGTTAATTCTGAAGAAGATGATTACATCTATTACTAAGGCACAGTCCATATGGGTGAATATTTCATTCGATTCACAGACCTGTACTTCTAGGATTCAGAAATCAATGGATTCGAAGGCACTTACTTAAATTAAAGTTTCTGGTTCCTAGCTATAGTTTCGTTTGACCCCTTTAGTGCTACTTGTTTGTGATCTTACGGTTCAATTTTTTTCCTATTCAGCGTACTTAATGAATCCGAAGGAACTTACTTCTTGAAGAAGTTTCGGGTTCCTATAGCTTTAGTTTCGTTTCACCCCTTTAGTGCTACTTGTTTGTATTCTTACGGTTGAATTTTTTCCTATTCAGTGTACTTCAACAGAAAGCGAAACTCCAACAACTCAGTTAATTGGTTGCAGAATAAAGGTTTGGTGGCCAAAGGATAAACAGTGAGTTATCTCTCTAATGAATTGTTTGTTAATTTTTCAGTTCAATACTTCAATATGTGTCTTCTACTGTGAAAGATTATCTTTACAATATTTTGGTTTTCTTCTTTGCACATACATGTAGACTATATAATATATGCCAAGACTTTATCTTTTGTGCAAAGCAAAGTGGCCTAATCTTCGATAAAATCCTGCTGTCTTTCATGGCAGGTTTTATGAAGGCGTGGTCGAGTCATTTGATACTGAGAAAAAGAAACATTTGGTAAGCAGCTCCTGAGATTCTTATGTCTGACATTGAAATGAAAACAATGCACTATACCACGGTCTTGTTTGGTAGCTAATCTCTCTATTATCTTCATCTTTTTTGAGGGAATGTAGGTCGTGTATGATGATGGAGATGTTGAGGCTCTCCAACTGGATAAAGAACGTTGGGAGCTCATTGCTGAAGGCAGAAGCCGGTAGACTTTGTTGTCATGGTTGGCTGTCTTTTTTCTCTTTGAAGCAGATTGACTAATGTTTAAATCTTTGTTCATCTTTTCTTCCCAGCAACTTAAATTGTTAAAGAGCAAGCGGTCCAAAGAGCAGTATGTACAAACAGCGGACCTGATAAGCTGTCAATGAGACCGATGGTAATAACATCATTCAACAGTGTCCCCGTGGCTCCAACTCAGGAACTATAATGGACTATAAGCCTCCTCACCTTCCAATCTCTCTCCACAGCTGTCACAAGGAAAATATTAGATTAAATTTGTGTATCTAGTATTTGGGATGAGAAACATGTAGAGGAATGGAAGTATGAAGAATGTTGATTTTGTGACCTAATTAGGTCTAACATGAACAACAAAACTTATTATAACATGATGAATTTGGAATTTCTGTAACCAATTCATATTTGTTCAAGAAGCACATCATGTTTGATCTCCGATCATGAGCATATGATCTAATGTTACCCATTCACTGCCAGTGCCAGCCCTTTTAGGATGCATAATATCGCTGTCCACTGTCAGTGTTACAGAACAAACAGTGCCAGTATGCATTACATTTTGCTATTCTGGAAACTGTTTCTTATGCTCCAGTTATGTCTTTTGAAACACTTGCCCAACAATTCTTTTTCGTTTTGCTGGTGATTCACTGTTTAAAGTAATGATCGGATCTTTTCGTGCCTGATGACATAAACAAGCAAAATGTAGACAACTCGAGCTTATTATAGGCAGGAAAAATTTGTGTATCCGTTGAATATTTCATGAGCCATCAAAACATCTCCAATTTTAGCATTTTAATGGGCAGAGGTAGTGTTCTGTTAGATTCAGCTACGTTGTTGTTTGAGCATTTAGGTATTACATATGTTCGCAAGTTGCCATGTCTGATAAAATCTTCATTGCTCGGGTTGAAATCGTGTATTTCTTTTGGCTTGAACAATGTTTTTCTGGAGAAGGATTGGACTGCAGAAGCATGTGTCTGCAGCTGGATTGGTGTTGGGAATCTATCTTTTGTATGGTTTCTCGATTTGAGTGGGAACCTTATTCCATAGAATTTCGCTCAAAGAGTTAGCTCTGCTGCACAAACTGAAATATCTTGATCTAAGTTGTAAGAACTTCAGTGGGACAATACCGCCAACAGTCTTCAGCTCCTTATTAAACCTTAAATCCTTGCATGTCACACCTAAATTTTCAGGTATTCAAGAGGAAATTGGTTACCTTTATTTCTTGACACAATTAAACCTTCAAAATAAGCAGTTTAATGGTAATGTAACACTTGGTTCATTTAACTTGTCATGGTTGGAGATCATGGCACTTGCGGGGAACCCAATCTTCCAGTGCTGGCACCAGTCTACCAATGATGCTTAAAGGGCTCTATCTTTCTGAGAATTAACTGATTTGCCTGATTCCTACAAGTTTGGGAAAATGTTAACAGTTGGAGATTATAATGTCTAGGAATTCGGTCCATCACATACCAAGAGAAATCGGGAACTTAAACCCGTTACAAGAGAACCATCTTGCTGCAAACAAATGCATGACCTGAGCATAAGTTCTAGCCCAGTCTGCTTATAGTAATCTTCATCCTTCGAGCTTAAACATTACAACTTCATTGACAAACTGTGCTTGAACTAGAAATGAAAATCCAAACTGGACAATAAATATGGGACAGAGGAGTAATATTTTAGCTCAATTTTTTTTTTTTTTTGAGCAGTTTGTGGTTTTCAACAACTTCAGTGGTGTGATTCCACCACCAAGCTTCACATCCTTACCATCTCTTCAAATTTGGCATTTTGTTTGCAGCAGATTTTCGGGTAACATTCCAAGGGAAATAGGTGACCTTCGTTTCGTGACAATATTAACATTGAGTTTGACAAATTTAGGTATGTTTGTTTCATTTTTTTAGTATGTGTTTTTAAGTGTTTTTTGTATTGGAAATGTAAAAAATTGTATTAAAAATGTAAAAAGTTATGATGAGATGAGACAGTTATTATTTAAATATTTTGAAAATACCATAAAAAAACCTAACAAATAAAGCCTTAGCGATCTTGTATCGCCAAAAATACTTCATTTGTCATTGTTTGGAGATTTGCCTCTTACAGGGAATAACTTGTCTGGATATCTACCAGCAGATGTCTGCTTCAATCTTCCATGCTTAAATGACAATTCCTTTCTGAGATAATGTTTTGGAAAATGTTACCTGTTGGAGATTGATTCTGTACGAATATTTATACCGAGGGAAATTGGGAACTTAACTCAGTTAATTGAGTTACAATTTTCTGCCAACAGATTGACAGGCACACAACAAATCTCCAAAATGATCAAAGCTTTATAGCAATATACTTCCTGACATTTCTGTTAGGGATGATGAATTTTTGAAAGGGCCACTAGTCACTACTAGCTCAGGGAATCTACAAAGATTGGAAGTGTTCTCGTCAATTCGGAAATCGTTGAGTGGCGCCATTCCTGAAAGCTTATTCAACATTTCAGCTCTGCGTGATCATAAATGTGCAAAGAAAAGGATCATCTATCAGGATAAGATGTCAAAAAAATTCTAAATATGATGGAAAGAAACAAAGTTTCAACAACCTTACTGAAAGCATCCCTGCTTACCATATCAAATGCTTCAAAACTCATGTATTTTCAACCCTTTCTAGCTACAATTTCATAGGTTCTGTATCAGAAACACTTGGGAATTCAATGTTTTCAAAATCGGGATTCCACTCGGTATCGTTTTGGCGTCTCAGGATCGGGTCGAATTCTAGATCGGTGGGATCGGATCGGAAGGATCGAAACCTTTTAAAATATTATAATAATTCTGAAATTGCGAGTTTCAATTTATTAGTTTAATTCATGATTGATTTTATAGAGGAAAAGTATATTAGTTCCCATATAAGTATCACCAACTCAAAATTTTAATTTTTATATCTTTTCTAATTATTTTCCCCTCTTTTTAATACGAAATCAACAATTTGTACAAGTATCGACAAAATCAATGGGATCGCTGAATCGTAGGATTCTACGATTTGGATTGGGATTTTGAAAGATTCTATAAGATCCCAATACAAAGAAGGATTTCATAAGATCCAGGATCGATTTCCTAATTCTGGATCGTAGGATTCTAAGATCCGGATCGGGACTTTGAAAACTATGCTTGGGATCTTTGGAAATGGTAGCCCTATCAATTACCAATTTGAAGGGAATATCTTGGTCCGCAACTCTGCATCAGCATTGAACTTTATAGCTTCTTTGACAAACCACAGAAATCTAACAAAACCTTCCATTGGTTCAAACCCTTTGTAGTCCAGTGTCCCCCTAGCTTTTGTCAGTAATTTTTCAACCTGTCTCAAACATTTTGATATTTGTGAATTCAAAATGAAGGGTGGGAATCCAGCAGAAATCAGTAATTTGAGTTCAGATCTTTCGTTGAGTTTATCTTAAAATGACTTGACTAAAACCATTCCAAGAACCACGGATATTTTACAAAATCATTTTGCCACCAAAACAGAAAAACCTCATGAGCTGTTACTGCAGAACAATCATCTTGAAGGCTCACTTCCCGATATAATTTGCAAGTTGCTAAAAATCTTGGCAAAGTGGATTTGGGAAGCAATCGGATGTTGTGGTGCAATGATTAGGAAACAATAATTTTACTGTGGTGCGCTGGGATGTGAAGCCATGCATAAGTCTTGGTTAAAGATATACGAGTTAGTAACCTTCCAGTTTTATTCATACAACACCAAAAACACAAAATAGTTCTAGTTTCTGCTTAATTGTTGTAGGACAGAGGGGAACAATTTCAATACATACTGTTGCTAGTGAAAGTGTAGTTAAATTTATCATGACTAACCATTCGACACGGTTAGTAGATACAAAATAAATCAAACTCTACAACTCAGGTATGTATTATTCCTTTGAGCTTTGATGTTAGCATATGCTACAAAGCAGTAGAAAGAGTGGACACAGGAGCGAAACAACCAATCATTTGCTCTCTAAATTATATCAGCAGTTGCAAGATCCAGCGAAAAAGTTCCAGTGTTGTTTGCCAACTCCAATGTAGAATTCCCGATATCAGCCACCAACATGATAAGAAACCTCCTCCAATTTAAATCCAATTCCACTGCGTCCCTTCTGCTACTCGGGCAAAAAGACTGCGGCACAAACTTCTGACTGATGGTTCCATTCTGCAGATTCTTTGTTGATGTGATTTGAACAGGTGATCACTCCATACCTCCTCTCTAATCTGGAAAATTTCAAACTTCAAGAGGGCAGCTTGGCTGGTTGAGAGATATATATTTGTGATTTCCACTCTAAACAAAAGAATACACAAGGCACAACAATTGGTTAAGATTATTTATCGATTTTCCATCTCAGCACGAGAAACTTCCATCCCATGCCCATCATCACGTGTATCATTTTCAATGCAGTACTTGGTTCATCAGTCCTGTTTCATTCCGAATTGGATTTTCATACACTGCAATGCTATCTTTGATTTGCTGTAGACTGATTAGAGACTTCTTCCGTTGCAGAATTTGATAAGTGTGAACTGCTAGGTTGACCGATTTGGGCGTCCAACTGCATCTGTAGCCAGACTGCTAAAGAAGAAGCGTAATCACGTGCCAAAGAGTCATACTGTGGGCACTGTAGTATCTTCATCAAAGCCTGTTGATACTGCAGCATGCTAAGAGATGGGCGACATGTTTCCTATCACGGTAAACTTTGATGGTTTTGATAACATGTTCACACAAGTTTCCCGCATTTGCCCAATCACAATCACAGAGTGCAAATTCTGAACCAGGGTTTTGTACAATATGAATAGAACTTCGACCTTCCTGATCCACGACTCTAGCAATACTATCCTCCATGGTAATGTCAGCATCTGGGATCTTCACTGACTTTCGCCAAACGGTTACACCACTGCACCACTCATCCTTCCTGTATCGTGCAAAATCTCCTTTTCCTGAATATTCATCCAACCAGAAGTAAGAATGCACTTTTGTACCCAGCTTATGCACCAACCAGTCAACACGCTCATACACACTATTGTCTTTCTCATTAACCAACCTTAACCTCAAGAGGTTGTGATAGGATTCCATTGCAGAAGAGGTTTCATGGCTTGCCACGGGGTGACTTTTCAATGCATTAACCCACAAACCTGCAAATCCACCAACAAAAATCCCAGTCAGGACAAAATAAAATACAAGATATCAGAAAAGTGGAGATCAAAGTTAAGATAAAACATTGAGCAAGACAAGTGTTTACATTAAACATAATGCTATAGGTCAAACCAATTTTGCTCCATTCACAAATTAATGTCATAAAAATGGAATGAGAAAAATGTTTTTTCCTCGTTGGGGATGGGGAAGATTGTTCTTTGAAAATGTAAACATGACGATGATGTTATATGTATAACAATTTAGCTTACCTAATCTTGGATACCAAACTGCCTTGAAGTAGTCAACAAAATCTGCAGCATCAATGAAATCTTCTAACCCAGCCTGCAAAATATCTGCATTTCCATGTCCTTTGCAGATTTCGGAGACAGACTCACCAAGCTTTTTTGATATTTCAGCACAGTAATCTACATCGGAACATCTACTCCTCAAGTTTTTGTGCCATGCATGGCGAACTCGCCAAAAGCATATCAATATGGAGCACTGAAAAACCTCCCTGAGCAAGACAGAAATACGACATGAATACCAACCAATGTAATCCGCCATGTTTGAAGAAAGGTAGCGCCCCAGAACAAATTAGAGAATACGACATAAACTTGTACATTTAGATAAAATTACAGAAAGGAGCCTTAGTGATTGGATATATTAAACCGCATGAGCTTACTTGATAGAAAGAATGTCGGTTGAAGGGTCATCCACAACAAAACCAGCTATCTTCCATGAAGGATCTTTTGTGCAAACTCTGTTGTAAAGGGCCCTCATCCATCTATATGCATCTCCACTTGCAAACTTAGGCGTTATTATCCATGCTACTGGAATAGCCTTGTTGTCAGAGTTGAACACAACAAGACTGTGAACAGGATACTGGATACATTCCATAAAAGACAAAGTAAGCTTAAAACAACTGTAATTTACTAAAATTTCAAAGTGAAAGGTGAAAAGTGTTGAAAATGGAAAACCAACCTTCAATTTTTTTGTCCCAAACCTTGAATCCGAAGCCAAGAGTCTGCGGTTACCAAATCTAATCATTTGTTGTAGCTGCCACTCGGTTTGAATACCCAAAGTGAAAGGCTCCGAATCAGAGAAGTCCTCATAAAAGAAAACCCAACTCTGATGACTTTCGACCCACTTGTTAACACTCCTAGCATCATCACTGTCCAGTTCAAGTGAAAATCGTCCCACTCTGATGCTCCTCTCTTGTTTGCGAACATATCTTTGATTCAAGAAGGCATCACCGTTACATGGACCTCCCTGTCTCTCCACTGACTCCTTATGTCTTTCCATAATGGTTTCTACAGAAACACCAACATACAAGAGTGATAAGACACGAAGACGGAGATCCTCAGAGATGTATGGAGCATACATTGCTCGAGTTCCAGCAGCATTTTCATCTTGCGGACCATGACAATATAATCCTTTCGTATCTATATGCTCATTGTGGTTGTAAATAATTAGTGCTACAGAAGGCTCTGCAAATAAACACTTGACAATGAAGTGGCACCTGCAGCCTCTTTTCGTGTTTGGTCTACCGGCAGAATTCTTCTTTGGAACGTATGTAGTCCTACTAGGCCGAACAAATCCTCCTTTCCTATGATCATCAGGACCAAAAGAACACCAATACCTAGAAATTCAAAACAATTTTAGCTCTTCCAAACCTACAACAAGACAAGGGGTCTAAGCATGATGATGATTTCAGCAAAATTAGTTATATATAGTTCACATAAAACTCACAAAATATATTCAAGTGTTGCATCAACTTTATGCTTCCGGTTCAACTCAGAACGATTGATTCTCCTGGCCTCAACATGAAATCTAGTTGGACAATCTTCATTGGCAGATTCACCACGAACAAAGTCATCCACTCTGCCAAATGGTATGCGAGAAATTCTATCTATTTTGTCACCGCAACCTTCCACATTCGACCACACCAGATCTTTGGAAGAAAATTCCAAAGCTGGAGGATTCTGGACAGGAAGAGACAGAATCTTGTCCCACTTAGCCATCTGCAAAACATTGAATGCCCCAAACTTAATTAACAACATTGGTACAGAGTTCTGATTTCTAATCGTCAAACCATTTTCCCCACAATGAAGTTCACTAAACCAGTAAGAATTGTAGATTATAAATAGCGGGTCACTGAAGAAAAGCAATTCAATTGATCATAACCTGCATATCAAAATTACACCCCAAAGGCAAAAAATTTAAGTCCATGCATTGAAGGAATTCTTTCAGAGGTGGACACAAAATTCCAACAATTTTGATTTCCAGGACAGCAGAAGGAAAACAACAAAGCGAATAAACTATCCAAAAAACTTGCTGGCCAGAACCATTTTGACAAACTACTTTCAACACAACCCAACAGGGCCTCCAAAAGAATCTAAGTTAACTTTGAGAATCGATAGAAATTTAACTGATCACTACGAAGCAGTACTCTATGAAAAGAATTTTTTTAAAAAAATAATACTCCAACCCACAACAAGGACTTAAAGAAAGAATAAATTTTTAGATAAAATTCTTCAAACTGGGACAGATATTAACCTGTAGAGGATGAAATTTCAAAGATACAGAGCTGCTGCTGGAAAGAGGCGATGAAGAAGAGCTACGGCGGCTTGACCGAAACTTGAGTTGAAGAAATAGAATACTGTAATTGTTATTGTGAATGGCTAAATATAACTTAATTTTACTTTGTGCAGCATGTGAAATAGACTAAAATACCCATAAGCTTTATATTCTCCTAAATTCTTTTATACGATCATATCTTTTTACAATTTTACACATATTATTTATTATACAGTAAAAATTTCAATGATCGTTGATGATTTGCAATGGCGGTGAACCAAAAAACACGCAAAAGCGGAGAGAGTGAGGTAATTTTAAGATGAATTTTATTTTTTCTTTTTTTATTCTTATATGATGGGACGGTTTTGATGTTTTGGGTTGCTGGGGGATTTTTTTTTTTTTTGGTTTTTGTTTTTTATTTTTATTTTATTATTATTATTATTTTGAAATGTTATGGGATAAATTTTTTGTCTTTGGTATAATCGGTAACCGGTGATTTTTTTTTCCACGAAATAGGTGATTATTTTTTTTCCTTTTGGTGCAATATTTGTTTTTTTTTCATTTTTTTTATGTAATTGGCGACTTCAGTGCAATATATATATATTTTTTTTTGTGTGTGTGTGAATTGTGATCATTTTATAAATATTTTTTGCAATTGGATTTTGCAATTGAAAGGATTTTGTTCATCTCGAACACATTGAAAGAAAGATAAAAATGATCATTGCTAAACATAGCTTGATTTTATTTCGTACAGCTTGATTTTATTTCGCGCAGTTTCATAGAGGTATTTTAGTCTATTTCACAAGCTGTGCGAAGTAAAATCAATCTGCATTTAGCAACACCCTTGTTATTTCCTATTATTTATTTGTGTATTTATTGTCTCAGGAAAAATCGCGATAAAATTGTGAAAGGAGGAATTTGCACTCGTGTATGAAATATGTTAACCAATTCGTAAATTACACAATTTGATAATGGAAATTCATCCTCTCGAAAATAGTTCATTTATCTCACAATTTATTATTGGAATAATTTGCTTAAATGGAAAAAACAAAAGGAGATCTAGGGACGACACTGGGATGAAAAATTGCAAAAGATTACTTGGCCAAGAATCATGTTTCCAAGTTTAAAATTTTATTTAATTGCGTTATTAATGAATAATAAATAATTAACAAATCTTAAAACCAATCTCAAAAACCAGTTATATGCTACTATATATGCTGAAAATCGCCAGGAACCGGAATTGAGTTTCTTGGCAATAAAGAAACCATTCGGCCTCATTTCCCCAGTAACATTATGGAGTAGAGTACATATGTTCTCATTAAGCAATGAAGCGCCACAATATAAGGTGCATGAAGCTATTTTAATGTTGCTTCAAAAATAACAATAATAATACTCCCTCCGTCCCATAATTATTGTCCAGTTTTACTAAAATGAAAAATTTTATTTTTGGTCAAACTTAATTATATTTTACCTTAAACAACCAGATATACCCCTACATAAGTAATTGTTTAACTACTAAGATTTTATGGATAATGTTTTTTACTAAGGACAAATGTGTAACTTGATCCATAAAAAGTCAAATTGGACAATAATTTTGGGACAAAATTTTTTTGGCAAAGTGGACAATAATTATGGGACAGAGGGAGTACTAAGAAGGGCGAAGAAAATTCATAATTGACCTACTTGTTTAGAAACCCACAGAAAATGAGAGAAAAATGAGGTTGACTTTTGAATATTCATTCTGACACTCCAGTGCCAATCTAGCAACATTCTCATGGATCTAAGATCGTTATCTTTAGAGAAAATGTAGCCCTATGCTCTATCAGGCAAACGGTTTACCAGATGAACAAGACACTTTTACTCAATAGATTATTCATTCTTAATTTGCTTATTGGAAAACTGCTCTAGGCATCTTATGCCTTCTACGTATATATACATTGGTTACAAATAATTAAGTTGATGAGAAACTTACTCAACAAATGTGTGTGAACTATGGTAAAGTTGTAGATAAATCGAAACAAATTGAACATGCGAATATATATAACGTGAAGAAATAAAGAATAAATAATTTTACTTTTGAATTAGTACATCGAGAAGTATGACAATGGCAGCGTATAGCTTGGATAAAAGTTTGTCTAAAGATGTTTCGCCAACATGAAGGACAACAAAGAGTTAAAATGCCAATGTTAATTAAAACATCCTTAAGATAACAAGAGTTATAATGGGCTCGAGAGAGTTTGGACTTAATGGAGGATAACTAATTTCACGTCAATTCCATGACGTTCTTTCATATTACTCGAAAGATTAATTGGGAAGTCAGGAAAGTTTTATTTGTGACAGAAGGTCTAGTAGATTTGAAGTTGAAATCTGACCCCCATTTCTAACAAAATTGTGATGGTGATACATTCTCTGATAAAGAACCCTAAAATGATGAGGAGGGCAGACTTGAGAACATGGAAAGAAATACTCTCATTTCGTCCCATTTTAGTATAATTCTTGTCACAGTGACATTGACCAATTGTTTTGAGTAGTTATTATCTTTTGAAGTTAATAAATCTGGTCAAGATTGTGAAAATTAATCCACGTACATACATTGAATCGTAAACTATATAAAATACCACTCTTTTTTAATTCTATGACGTTTTATGTAATAAACATGCTTTTGAAGTTAATATTTCTGGGCAAGATTGTGAATCTCTAATTAGATTATGCAATTAAACTATAATTTGACAATTGTTAAAGATTTGCCTCCAATAGTTAATGTTCCTAAGCATCAACTTACAATTTATTTTACCTTTTTTTTTCTTTTTCTCACTTGCGTGGTCTTATCTTTTCCTTAAAATAAATGAAAGTTGACATGAGTCAATTATTACTGATTCAAACTATATATCAACGGAAAGTCTCTTTTTGTCTTGTGCTCATAACTTAGGTCGTCACTACCAAATGGAGATGAGCAATTTATTTTTTTGGGTTGCCCTTTTATTACTGGGAAGTTTCAGTGTTAAAGATGCAGCTTCATTGATTGAGGAAATGTGCCGTGTGCGACAACTGCCACACAGGCACACACCTTTCGGTCCTGTATGAATCGCTTGGAAAAGTAAATTCGTCGACGTCAAAAAATTAGCCGGCAAAACGATATCTTGTGTTCTGCCTCTGCGTCCCACATCAATCGCTTTTCTATATATGGTGGAGTTTTCACCCAACGCTTCAGGCTATTTCCAAAAACACGAAGAGTTTTGTGTTCAAAAATTAGAAACTACAAAAGATAATTTAGGGGCAGCACTGAAATTTTGGAACCACTCCCGAAAAGCTGATACATGTGGACAATTACTATTTCCTAAGCAGTTGGATTGTGATAGAGGGCGTCTTGATGTTACTAGGGATATAACCTCTGGAATAGAGATTAGTAATATATCAATGACTAGTTTATTGTTTTTGTTTAATAAATCGAATTCGTATTTCGACACATTGTGATGATATGACCACTACATCCTCTAAATCTGGGTCATGAAAAAGAGTCAATTTAAACCTAATTAAGTGGATTCTCTACATAAGTCATCTAATAGTCTCATTGATCATTGCTTAATACAAGTCATTCTATTCTTTATGTGTAACAAAACCGATAATATTGGTTCTAAACCTAAACATGATTTTATGGTACACACGTAACCGCAACCAAGACCAGATTTTAGACTTCTGAGTGATTTTGCGCGCCGAAGCTTGCAAGTCTAGCTCACTTACAACACTAATTAATTAATTTGATAGGTACGGATATCTTGTATAGTCTCCTTAACAAGTTTTGTGAAGTGATTTCAGATACGATCCATCAAGTTAGTTCTCTTTGTCAATTGTTACTTTGTCTAGGGTTAGAAGGTTCGAGAATGTCGTTATACATTCTTTTGCTTAGTTCACAAAAACTTCCAATGATATTGAAATTAAAGAAAGTGATCTTCCTAATTTTGTCAAAGATAATGCTATATATAGACTGTACTCGCAGTCATTTCTTTGAACGAACTTTGTTTGGTCCAAACAACATATACTACTTGATCCAACATTTGTACTAATTAATTATTTCAGTGGCCACGTACGTACGAAGTTGCATAATGTAGAAGAAGCAGTTAGTCAATTACAATTATAAGCTAACTAATCCCTTAGATATAAAGATTTATCAACTATATCTGTGAATTAATCCAATAGAAGAAAAAAGTACTAATTAAAAAATCAAAATATGAAATCTATGATTAAACTTTAAAGAGAGAACCAAAAAAAAAAAAAAAAAGATTAAAACGTGTAAATAACTTAATATTTAGCCAACTGGCGTAGCTAAACCAGTTATATATAATATACTACATATAAGGTAAAGTTAATGACAATATGAACAATCTAATCCGCATTTCACCGTACTCTTAAAAATTGTAAACTCAGAAATCTCAGAGTTTTGTAA